GAAACGACGTAGATACAGTCTACAAGGCAGGATTCTATTTTTTGCAGTATGAAACAAATACCGAAAAGTAAAATATACCAGAAATGTTTCCATCCGGCCGTTTTGCGCTAGCGATTTCCGCTACTGCAAATGACACCCAAGGCCTACATAATTACCCCGTAGCTTCTCCGAACTGCACTGTTCTCAGTCGTCATAAATTGCTAGTTTTATATTTCCACAGTCAAATGCATGTTTGGTAAAATCTGATTTAAAATACCATTACATGATGTGCGGATTTCCAGTATACTGCATGCATACGCGATGTTCGAAAGACCAAGGTCACCAAAATCTATTAGTCCCTCACGTTCAACGGGATCAGCTAGAGAATTCCAAGGCAACAATACCTGCAAATAATTTTTGAGCAAGCTAGCATCAAATATGCATCTTAGAGCACACCAAATATGAATCAATATCTATGAATAAGTGTGATGGCGGTGGTCAAACGGCAAAGATCACCAACACTGATTTGGAGGACGTGTTTGAGTGATACTATCAACTCCGTATGGTCGGATGTGGGTGGTTCGAGTTGCGGCTGGTCACGCTTCCCTTGTACCCCACGAAATGCTCCGATACAGCTTCTGCTGAGGAAGCCTGACTCTGCATTCCCGTGTTTTCCCTCCAAAGTGGGAGGACAAAAAGGCAGTATCCGGGGCTACAACCGGTCGGCGAACCACTGACAGCTCAACTAGGGGAATTTGCTAAAAGCACTGGTTCCAAACACACCAAGAGATATACGAACCACAAACATTTACATAATCCCGATTACGGCAATGGTCACCGGTTCGATTGAGCATCGAGGTTTATTGGGCAATTTGGACGTTGGATCACATTCAAAGGGTGTATCATCAGATGAACTGGACATCGGACCCATGGCTTGTGATTTTTACACACCGCGCTGCTGTCTTGCGGGTCAAATTTTGGCTAGTCGAAAGCACCGATTCTGAATTCCCCGAGAAAATTCACCTGCTTTGACCTGAAAAACCTAGCAAACAATGGATGATAACTATCTCTTTATTAAGATTTGTTTGGCACAGTCTAAACTCAGAATCGTATGAAACACACACGAAACTCTTCAGTTAACCCACAGAATTGCTCGTCCGGACTTCTATATTACTAGGTGGAAAACAGTTACCGAACACTAATTGCCTATATTATCATTCTGAACGTAACAACCATTTACCTGCACTGTGCGATAGCACTGATTGAATTGCTACAACTCATAGACAGGCGGATGGCGCCACCATGCCATTGATAGACTTTGTTTGAGCAAGCGACAATTAAAAATTCTGTGTGCGTAGTCAGTTAAGTTCTTACAACCACTACCCATTTTTTATTACACACTTTCTGAACTGAACAGCAGAAGTGATAAACCCCATAGTCAAGAGGACCTGCAATTCAGTAATGGACTCGGTAATCTGATCCCTGGGACTTGAAGTGGCGGATCACATAAGGCCCCACTAGGTCAGGCGTGGTATAGAACCGGACGACAGCAAAGCTGCCTACCACCAAAGNCACCAAAGTTGGGTGGCGGTGGCGGGGCTTGAACCTCGAACCACAGAATCCAAAGCACGTCGGTGACAGCGGCTAAACCAATGCGCCACCGCCAAGCACTTTCGTGCGCCGGTTTTGGTGGTTGTCTTTGGGTCGCCCATTTCGACAAAAGAGCAGAATGAAGGTTGGAATGTTGAAAGCAAATATAAAAAGAAGATAGAATTCATATAGACTGGTGTTAAGAGGGCAATGAGTAGATGCATGAGCGACACTGTTTGTGACAACCAGCCATACCGCTCAGTGTCCCTAAACATCGGGTAGGATCATCCCGAGGTCCCCAACCAAGAAACTAACGGGATCTATGTGACCCAGACTCCTGGTTAGGTGAGGTTTTCACACCCTCATGCCAGGTCTTCGTTTGACCGCCCTTCATTTTTCCCAACCGCTACCTGCCTCGGTGAACACCGCTCGTCGCGGCAACATATTTGGTGACATGTGTAACACATGCCCCAACCAACGTTATCTATGGAAGTCGACCACTTGCTCCAGTGGGCGACCGCGGTTACCTAAAACTTTGCGCCTAACCTCAGCATTGCTCGTTCGGATGCCCCACCAGATTCGTGCAATGCTGCATAGACAGCAATGTTTAAAAGCCGACAGTCTATCTCTATCCTGCTTCCTTAATGGCCAAGTTTCTCTGCCGTATAGCAGAACTGGCCGAACTACTGCAGCATACACTCGACCCTTCACAGACAGCCAGATGTCGCGACGGCGCCACAGATATCTCAAGTTGGCAAATGCCAACCAAGACTTCTGTATGCGACCTGACACTTCATCCATGATGCGTCCACCGGGTGAGATGTAGCTGCCCAGATAACAAAACTTATCCACCTACTCCATTACTTCCCCAGTTAGAGTGAGGCTGGGTGCAGGACCAACCCAGTCTTGAAGTAACACTTTACACTTTGAAGGTGCAAAACGCATACAGAATATCGCTACACTAAACTATCCAGAAAAGCTTGTAACTTACCTGGATCTTCACTTAGTAGCACAATGTCGTCTGCATACTCTAGATCAGACAGTCTGCCACCTGAGAGTAAATCGAAGCCACCATCCTCGGAGGGGGATAGGGCTGTTTCCATAATCAAATCTAGAATAGAAAAGGAGAGAGAGCAAAACCCTGTCGAACACTACTTTCCGTGATGAACTCGGGTGAAAAAGTGCCGTAAGCTCGGACTCGGCTTCGGCTATTATTGTAAAGGGATTGTACTATTGAAATTAACTTCTCGGGCACACCCTTCAGGGAAAGGCAGCGCCAGAGTTGAAAGTGGTTGACTGACTCGAAAGCCGCTTTCAGATACAGGAAGATAGAGATGCTGGATCTACGAAAAGAATGTCGGTGCTCGAGTTTGGCGAAGAGTAGTCGATACAACCTCGACCAGGTATAAAACCAGTCTGGTTCTTACGTGTGCACTCTTCACGAGCGGCAGACAATCGACAGAGTATGATACCAGCGAGAAGTTTAGATGCGATGTTAATTAAACTAATTGCTCTGTGGTTTTAACAGGAGGATCTGTCACCTTTCTTGTAAATCGGCATGATCACCAATTCACACCACTCAGCTGGAACCTGTTCTCTCTCCCACACTGAGCCCAGGAATTTCGTTAACTCCGAAACCAAGGCTAAACCTCTATCCTTAAAAACCGATGGGGACAGCCCGTCTGGGCCGCAGGCCTTATGCTTTTTGAGATGGCTTATTTTCTGGGAAAGCTCTATTCCAGATGGAGGACTAGCATCAACTGGCAGTATATGCGCAGTCGCGATGGAGGGTGATAGTTCAGATGTCGATGGGGCCCAGTTGATCTGAGCCTTAAAATGTTCAGCCCACTGATCGTGAATCAGCGTGCCATTGCATTCCTTAACTACCTCACTTACGCCTATTTTCGTAGAGCCCGTATTCCCAATCATACAGAAAAGATTGCGACTATTACCAATAGCCGCAGCCTTCTACAGCTCTCTATACTTTCCTATCTACCACTTCTCGCGGTCATTCCTCAGACTCTTGATGAGCTGGTGTTTGAGGGATTTGTGCGTTGTATCATATGCGGCATCGGGAGGGAGGGTTCTGCGGGGGTCCAGAAGAGCAGCCGAGNCAGCCGAGGTCGATAAGAACCATTGTTTGAGCCTGCGCGAGGGTCCGACGTTGCTTTTATTGACATTTGCATAGCTTCCTTGATATGCTTTCAGTGTTTATTGAGTTATTCTGCCAGTGGTCGAACTGATAGGCGATCGGAGAGTTCCGCTTCGAAGGCCCATTTGCAACA